GATGTGAATATCGTGGAATTATTAATATAAAAGGGGGAGGGGGGCGAAACCTAACATACGTTTGACCCTCGCCACTTACATATACGTCATGCTGCATCAGGCAAAGTGGCCTTTATTTGGATGACATGGAATGGTATAGAAAAACAGCAATTTTAACTGGATTGTAAAGAAACGCAATGTGGGCTGTTTAGCGTATTTCGGCTGGGCATTAATCGGCTTAGAACCAAGAGGTCTGGGGTTCGAATCCTGCCAAGTCACCGACCATGTGTCCTTGAGAAAGGCACTCTTTGTGTGTGTGTGTGTGTGTGTGCATGTATGCGTTGAGTGTAGTGGTATATATGTGTGTGTGTGTGCATGTATGCGTGTGTGTATGTGTGAGTGTGTGTAGTTTGTGTGTGAGTGTGCATGTATGCGCGTGTGTATGTGTGTGTGTGTGCATGTATGCGTGAGTGTGTGTATATGTGTGTGTGTGTATGTGTGCATGTATGCGTGTGTGTATGAGTGTGTTTGTGTGTGAGTGTGTGTTTGCCTGTGTGTGTGTGTGTGCATGTTTGTGTGTGTGTCTGTGTGTGTGTGTCTCTGTGTGTGTGTGTGTCTGTGCATGTGTGTACATGTGTGTCACTGTGTGTATGTGTGTGCTTATGTGTGTTTGTGTGTGTGTGTGTGCGTGCTTGTGTGTGTAATACTGTGTATTCATGTGTGTGTGTGTGTGTGTGTGTACATGTATTTTGTCGAACAGAATATGAGCCCAATTTAAGAGTTTCAACGACTATATCCTTGTACATATCATTTATTGAGTTGTTGTCAATCTAATTGTGAAAATACATTTTCTGCAAATCTCCATGATTTCTCCATTTTCTCATTTTAAGCTGGACATGGCGATGGCAGAACGAGGGTCTCCCACCGGAGTTGGTCAGAACTGCTGTGATGGGTCTCCCACCGGGGTTTCCCAGGTCAATTGTGACAGCAAAACAAGCAATGTTGAAGACCAGGCGAAAGCGCAACAAGTCAACTTGGATAACGCTGGTGAGAAACCCTACATGTGTGGGGAGTGTGGGTACAGGGCGGCTTATAAGTCTACCTTATCCCAACATATGAGGACCCATACAGGAGAAAAACCCTACAAGTGTGACCAGTGTGACTATTCTGCAGCACGGAAATATCATTTGGACAAACATCTAACAATGCATGCTGGTGAGAAACCCTACATGTGTGGGGAGTGTGGGTACAGGACATCAAAAACGTCTCACTTATCCATGCACATGAGAACCCACACAGGAGAAAAACCCTACAAATGTGACCAGTGTGACTATTCTGCAGCACGGAAATATCATTTGGACAAACATCTAACAATGCATGCTGGTGAGAAACCCTACATGTGTGGGGAGTGTGGGTACAGAACAGCTTACAAGTCTGACTTATCCCGACATATGAGAACCCATACAGGAGAAAAACCCTACAAGTGTGACCAGTGTGACTATTCTGCTATAGAAAAATCCACTTTAGCCAAACATTTAGTAAAACACACCGGTGAGAAACCCTACATGTGTGGGGAGTGTGGGTACAGGGCGGCTTATAAGTCTACCTTATCCCAACATATGAGGACCCATACAGGAGAAAAACCCTACAAGTGTGACCAGTGTGACTATTCTGCTGCACTGAAAGCTAATTTAGACTATCATCTCACTAAGCACACAGGTGAGAAACCCTACATGTGTGGGGAGTGTGGCCACAGGACAACTTACAAGGCTAACTTATCCCAACACATGAGGACCCATACAGGAGAAAAACCCTACAAATGTGACCAGTGTGACTATTCTGCAGCACGGAAATATCATTTGGACAAACATCTAACAATGCATGCTGGTGAGAAACCCTACATGTGTGGGGAGTGTGGGTACAGAACAGATCACAAGTCTACCTTATCCCGACATATGAGAACCCATACAGGAGAAAAACCCTACAAGTGTGACCAGTGTGACTATTCTGCTATAGAAAAATCCACTTTAGCCAAACATTTAGTAAAACACACCGGTGAGAAACCCTACATGTGTGAGGAGTGTGGGTACTGGACAGCTATCAAGTCTAACTTATCCCAACACATGAGGACCCATACAGGAGAAAAACCCTACAAGTGTGACCAGTGTGACTATTCTGCAGCACGGAAAATCAGTTTGGACCAACATCTAGCAAAACACTCTGGTGAGAAACCATACATGTGTGGGGAGTGTGGGTACAGGACAGCTCGAAAGTTTGACTTATCCAGACACATGGGAACCCATACAGGAGAAAAACCCTACAAGTGTGACCAGTGTGACCAGTGTGACTTTTCTACAGTACGGAAGTCTCATTTAGACGATCATCTCACAAAACACACTGGTGAGAAACCCTACATGTGTGGGGAGTGTGGATACAGGACAACTCAGAGGTCTGCCTTATCCCGACATATGAGAACCCATACGGTAGAAAAACCCTACAAGTGTGACCAGTGTAGCTATTCTGCAGCCTCTAATGCTATCCTATCTCGACATATAAAAATCCACACAGAGGCACCAAGTCTGCAACTGTGACCATCTCGTAGTGACATTTAGTACGCACAGTCTGCTGTTAACTACAGTTTTTTTTTTCTACTTAATATTTTGATACGAATCCTAAGGGTATATAACAGTATAGGACAGATATGTTTATTAAGATTTAGGCTGAATTTTCTGTAAGAATTCATGATGTTTGCAAGTAGGCAAAGGTTTTTCCCAAGAAAAAGTCCTTTCCCAAGAAAAAGTCCTATACTTGTTCATTTCAATATCTAATTAAGTTATGGCTATAATTTAGGTACAAGAATAAGTCTTAGTTTCGCTTAGTAGCCCATATACTTTGTTGTTATATCAGATATCAAAATCTATTTTAGCTATCTAGAATTGTAGAGTGAGAATAGTAAGCGTTATAGTATTGATTGGACAATGCACATATACATAATCAGTAATTAACATCGGTAAGTGATTATACACAGTAGTTAACGCTGAAAGGTAGACATTAGTGCTGTGTTTGTACACAGTCGTTGGAATGTAGACGTTAGTGTTGTGTGTGTACGAGCTTAGATTTCCTGTGTATCTACTAGTAGTTCCTGTCATCGGTAAGTGATTGTAAACAGTAGTTGAAAGGTAGAAGTTAATATTGAGTTTGTTTGAAAGAAGCCATTGAAGGAGCTTCGCTTTCTTGTTAATACTTCACTTTGTCTAAGTGTTTGCCTGTATGTCTTACAGACACAGTCATATCTTTTGATTAATATAAACTCAGTAATCTAGCGTTTGGTTCATAGTGAAATCTTAACGCTGATTTACATCAGTGTAAATCGACCGATGTTCTTCAGTTTCCAAAGTAGGAAGTAATTTTACAGCTTTACAAAGGTACATTACAAAGGTTATGTTGTATACAAGTATGCTGTTTGTAGGTTTTTTCGGAGATGTAGTTATAATAATTAAATCGTTTGATACTTTCAAGATAATGCTTTTCTTTCCTTTATTTGCAATGGTGGAGTTTGTTAAATCATCACAAAACATAAAAATCAACATTAAGAAAAAACATGTTTGGCTGTTATTATGTTTACAGAAGAACAACATCTTGTTTTCTTCAGTTTCCTCTTCTCCAAACACAAATTTCAATGACCTGGGCCAGACAGTCTATCACCATGGTAACTAGTGTTGGTGTATGTAATTTTGCAATTTTATATCAGAAGGGATTTAGACTGCTGTCACCATATATACATAAATGTGTTTGAGTAAGAATTAACAGAGCAGACTATGTCTGAAGGTAAACATTACATTATGCTTTGCTTTGCAAATGTTACCTTTCTAGTCAGCTTTTATCTTCCTTTCCAAGACGTGGTGACGGCACACTCAAGTTTTTTTTCAACTTATATTAATGCTGCCACCAACACAGGGGACAATACAATACTCCTTTTCACCTGAACGAAGTGAGGAAAGTCGTGTAAAGTGCCTTTCCCAAGGGCACAAGATCGGTGGCATGTCAGGATTCGAACCCGGGACCTCTTGGTTCCGAGTCGAGCACTCTGCCACTACGCCACACTGTTAGATCCGTGGTCAGGTACGGTTCTGGATAGTCCAGGCGTACTAGTATCCAGAACCGTGCTTTATCCAGAATTAAAAATCCATCCAGTTTGAGAAGACTAAAGTACTATATTATTATTATACTTTCTATATTATACAGAAACTTACTTGCGGTATTCCGGCGCTGTGCTGGCCGTGAGGGTGTTGACCGACATGCCGTTTTTCCGCCAGTGCAGGGACGGAAGTTTTGTTTTCGGTCGCTTTTACTGATAGTCTGTGTGTGTGTGTCAAGTCCACACTGGGAAGCGGCTGGTAAAAGTAGAAAATGGCCAAATAGAGGGATAACATGCCAAGGGAGTTGGTCTGCAAACTGTACTCTCTAGCGGACCAACTCCCCTGGCATGTTATCCCTATATTTGGCCATTTTCTACTCTTTCCAGCCGCCTCCCGAAGCCTGGTAGAGACTAGAGAAATACTTTTATCATGCTGCTTACTTGCTAAGTGGAGGCTAGTGGGGAAATATTATAATCATGCTGCTTACTTGCTAAGTGGAGGCTAGTGGGGAAATGGTGTGTGTTTAACTCCCAAATGCTTAGTGTTAAGCAGAGATAGCAGTATATGTACCATTTTTTAAAGTATTTGGATATCGAGCTCACGACTTATCGAATGCAAGGCGAACACTCTACCCACTTGGCCATTGCACCGGTCGACGTAATTAACCACTAAGTATATTGTTAATTTCAGAAAACAGCCGAAGACCACCAAACCCCCAGTTCTATAAGCCTGCAACGGAGGCTAATCAGAAAACAGCGGAAGATCACCAAACCCCCAGTTCTATAAGCCTGCAACGGAGGCTAATCAGAAAACAGCCGAAGATCACCAAACCCCCAGTTCTATAAGCCTGCTACGGAGGCTAATCAGAAAACAGCCGAAGATCACCAAACCCCCAGTTCTATAAGCCTGCTACGGAGGCTAGATGATGATGATGATAATTTTGATGTGTAGATGCAGGAGGGAGTGGATCAGAAAGTGCAGGAGACAGTGGTTCTGCAGACAGCAGGAGTTCCGGAAGTGGAGAAGACTCCGACTCTGACAACAACAGTGCCGTGTCCAGCAGCAGTCGGTCACTCAACATGGCCAAAATGGTGGAGGCCGTCAGGCTACGCCAGGCACAGGTAGGTTTTGCAGGGCTTTAAATACTGGGTGCATGTGAACTTTAGTGCACCCAAATTTGGAGCTGTGTAGCCTGACTAAATCTGCGCTCCTAGCGGCCGGCCCGGTATTACAGCAGCCGGTAATACCGGGCCGGCCGCTAGGAGCGCAGATTTAGTTAGGCTAGGAGCTGTGCACCCAATTTTTTTTTACCGTGGGTGCACCAGTGCACCCAAATATATTCTTAGGTTTGATGTATTTAAAGATGTTAAAATGTGTAGTCGTTATAGAATATTCTTAACATTTAAGTGTCAGAAAAAATAATACAATACTATAATCATTGTTATAGTACTTTTCTTAAAATGAAACATAATTATAGTTTTTGTAGACATTCTAGTTATTCTATCTTATATATATGGTGCACCTAAAATATTTTTGTGCACCCAAATTTTTAAGTTGGGTGCACCAGTGCACCTATTCCCAAAAATGAATTTCGAGCCCTGTTTTGTTTACTGTAACTGACATGTGCTGCCCCCTATCTGTAGTCGAGTGAAGTGCAGCTGTCTGGCTCCCTGAAGGTGCTGATCTGTTCCATCTGTCTGGGCAGTGTCAGGTGAGTGGGAAACAACAAACACGTTCTGCTACGTTCACAATCTTGAGGAGTCCCAATCTCCGAAAATCTGGAGTAAAATTCATAATTAGTAGTATAAACATCTGTTTTGTAGGCAAAAAAATCACTTTGTACGTGGGGTGATCAGGTTAGCAAGTTTAAACTGTAACAAGTTTAAATTGAAGTTTAAACTGTAATTTCCATCAAAAGAAATTGGACCCACCCAAATTCAGTCTTTGTCAAGAAATGAGCAATCCACTGCTTTTGTGACGTCATATTATACAGATGACATAAACGATTGTGAGGGTCTTTTATATCACTGACAACAATATGTCACGTGTGTTTACTGCACTTTGAAGTAAAATGTTTGTTTGTTGTTATTTACCAGTGAGGAGGACGATGAGATAGTGGAATGTGACAACTGTGGCAACGCTGTGCACGAAGGTAGGGTCAATATGTACATGTACTTGTCAAGGTCATGTACTTGTTATGTATATCTGAATACATATTTTAGACTTACTCATATCCTTCCAAGTTCAAATTGAGAGTGCTGGGCTGTGATTGGCTGTTGCTATGCAGGTTGCTATGGTGAGCATGTGAGTGACAGCGCCTCCACCTCCAGTTCCCAGAGTTCCTCCTCCACAGAACCCTGGTTCTGTGATGCCTGCAGGGCCGGGGTCAAACCGGTGAGACAAAAATTATTTGAACCTATAGAGCTAGAAGTTCATTTTTGGGAATACCCAACCTAAGAAATTAGGTGCACAAAAAATTTTTGGGTGCACCATATGAAACAAAATCTAAATGCTCCTCTGTTCCTCTTCTTAGCTTAAATCTAAAACTTCAAAATCTTAAACAAGTACTACAACAAAGATTTTATTATTTGTCTGATACTTAGAGACCAAGAATGTCCGGTATACTATTATACATTTCTAATGTGAAAAATTCCTACAAAAATATTTGGGTGCAGCAGTGAACCCACAGAAAAATAGCACCCTTTATTATTTCCATATATAGTGTAGGCTTGTTCCTAGCCTGGTTGACATTCGATTTGCTCCAGACTCCTTTAATACACTCACTGCCAGTCACTGTCATGTCGGACAAAAATATTTTTGGTCAGCGAGTGCAAGGAGCCTGTAGAAAATCAGATGACACCCAGGCTAGCTAATGTTACCAGGTGTATGGATTAATACACTAAAGACATGTAGGTCTAGAACAACATGTCGAGCTACAGATATCAAGGAGCTCCTTGCAACTATGAAGACGGAACATAATGATACCGCCCTTTAAAATGACTTACCTTTCCTATCAAACTCCCATGGATAAAACCTGCCTCTGGAAACTTTCACAGCCATGTCTTCTACAGCTGATGTCATTATGATCGCCAGATGTCCTACATGAATAGATAAAGAAATAGATAAATCACTGAACAGGATAAGATATGTTTTATCATATTCATTCACCTCATTATACCAGCCGTCATACCATCAACATTACTGTCATGATGTAAGGTTATTTAAGGCCACAGCAAGTAATTTTTATGGATGACATCGGCGGGCGCATTAATTTTCGCCTGATTTTGGAAAAAAAAACAAGAAATTTTGTTGCCTTCTGACAGTGGTCAACATGCCGAAAATGGGCAAAGATGTCTGTTGCCATGCCGGAAGGTGGATGGCAGATAACTATGACGAGAGGAGACAAGAAAAGGCAATGATTTAATGTTTTGTTTCTTACTTTGATGCAATGATATGTGATGATGGCTGTGTATATGTGATGTTCCCACTGAATAAAAGCCATTCGTACAATGATTGAGTCAAAATTTTATAATGTAGGAACCTTATTTTTTTTGGCTCGCCTTGTTTTTTTTTCGCCCGCTCGCATTAGATTTGGAGTCTGCAGAGGATGTCATCCATAAAATTTACTTGCTGTGGCCTAAGGGTGAACAACAGGCACTATTGCTGCATGTGGGTACACAAAATTGTAGTGGGTATGTAATAGATAAAAGGGTGTGGAAGGGGTTAGTTAAATGTGTTTTAAGTACAGGTATGGTATAATCAACCCCAGAGGGTTTATGAGTTTAACACGTGAGGTCATTGACCTTATAAATTTTGAGCTTGTATCCCTCAGGTCATTGACCCCATTAAGTTTTTATATGGTTCAAAAAAAGTACATTTGCCCATAGAAGGAGTCAGATACTCTTTTAGTAGAAATTTGCTTTTTCAGGTCTGTAATAGCCCATTATTCACCAGAGTCATCCATTGTCTCCACATATCTTCAACCCATTTTTATGTTTACCGAAGGAAAACATATTGCTTTTACTCCATTTCTTCTTCTTCTTCTGTTCCAAACACTAACCTCTGACCTGGCCAATGGCCTCTTTTGCTGACGTCAGTCACCATAGTAACTGGTGTTGGGTTACATAATGTTGCAATTTCATAGTAGGTATTTAGGCTCCTGTCACCATATACATGTACGTAAATGTGTTTGAGTAGGAATTAACAGAGCAGACCATATCCGAAGGTAAACATTATGCATTTGCTTTGCAAATGTTACTTTTCTAGTTACTCCACTCTTTCTGAGTTCTACTACTAAATCACTGGTTTTATCAGATTCTATTATCTCTTGAGGTCCATGCTACAATGGCTACAATAACTGACAAAACTCTATCTTCATATGGAAAAAGCCTATCCCCTTTTCAATGGTCTTTACAGGTTTGTTGCAGTGGTACGAACCGTGCGATATTAGATAATTGCGATAAGATAGTTGACCGTAAGGTCATTCGTGGGATTTATATATTGACCGAGAGGTCATTCTGATAACTTGGATATAGGACCAATGAGGTTAAACCTCCTTGATAGGACGTAGTACTACCATTCTATTCCACACAGACAGTTTTAACTAGATATGTCTTTACGATAGTGGGAATACCGAAATACATAACTTACATTAATTTGATTTTGATTTTTTTTTGAAATTGCAACAATGCAATACACGTGGAACAGAGGTAGCTGTTGCTGGTGTTGTTTCCCGCACATAGAAACGAATATTGGACAGACAATACTCATTTTCACTTGAGTCTAGTGGGGAAAGTCGTGTTAAGTGCACAAGGGCACAAGGTCGGTGGCATGTCAGGACTCGAACCCGGGACCTCTTGATTCTACATTAATGGACCTCCTTGGTGAACATAACGTACTTAGTACATTATGCACCCCTCCCCCATAATCTTCTTTCGTGGAGTCAACATAAGTCTTCTAGTAAAAACGCGTTTATCTAGTGTATAACAGAAGAGTTCTTTTAACACCATAAAAACGAGCGTGTACGTACCGATTTGTGTTGTCTGTCAAGATCACCAAACGCTCACAGCTCACTATAGTATAAAATGTGACCGCGGCACGGCGTGCAGTATTTCTAATCTTTGGATTCGGGCCATACCATTCTTGTGAGGGTGCCACCTTTCATGGACTGAGCATTTCCAGACATGACTATTTGATTGATGGTCAATAATAGTTACTAGTATATAATATATCATGAAGTGTACCTATATGCATACTATTTACAAAACATTGAGCATTTCTTAGTCATCTAGTTAATGAGACAAAAGTAATGGTACCCTAAAAAAATGGATTCATCCAACGGAGTCAAAGGTGAATGACCTCCACTGCTGGCAGTGCATATGACGTCACTAGCATAAAGCACCATATGGAGCACAAATCCGCGTAGCAAAAACAGAAAACTTTTAAGCATACATTATTTAAACAGTTATCAACATATGTTGACACCTTACACTTACCAATATGTGACATTAAAACAACTACAAACTGCTAAAAGTATGATATGGTATATTTTAAAAGTAAAACTATTTCTCGTCGTTTCACACTGGTGACGCTTCATTGAAAGTACATATTAGGAAAAAAAAATTCCTTTCTTTTATATCTTCGTAGATTTCCGGAAGGGTTCGATAAACATCGGGTCGTCCGACGAAGCGGATCGTATGGTAAGAAGTTTTATTGCAAATTCATGCCCGAGGGCTAATTGCATGAACAGAAGAAACATTTGGTATAAAAACAGATAATTAGTACACATGGAACTACTAACTACTAAGAAACTACCTGTAAAAACTACTAGTAAAAACTACTGGGTTTGACTTCTTTTTTGAAGACAGAGGAAGACAAAGGATCCCACTTTTTCTGTAATTGTGAGTTTTCGGATGTTAAGAGGAGAGTAGTTTTCTTTTCATTTGTATATGTGTGAAAGTTTGGGTAGAATTTGGACTAATTTTGGAGGCTACGTCAAATAGTTCATTTCGTTCATTGCTATAGAGGGTACAATTTGAGATAAAATGCGTGTCGTCTTCCATCGTATTCAACGTACAATGTTTGCAAATTCGTTCATACACTTGGAGCTTCTTGTACCGCCCTCTCTCAATTTTGAGAGGGTGTGCACTAATTCGTAATTTACTTATTGCAGAGCGAATGTTAAAATCGATTAAGTCCAGGTTTTTTTTTCATAGAATATGCTGTTTTACATTTTTTGTAGAACCTTAGCTTACTAGAATCAATATCTAACTTGTGGGAAATAGTTTGTACATAATATACATATCAGAAATCCTTAACCTTAACATGGTGCATACAGATTTGATGTCACAAGTAGCGTCTTTCCCGGGACCTTTCTTCTCAACCGTTCCGACGCTCAATGTGATTTTTGTGTAACATTCTATCTTTATTCTGGTTTGTTGCAGTGGTACGATATTAGGTAAGATAGTTGACCGTAAGGTCATTCGCGGAATGGTCCTCCGAACGATGTCACCTAAGGTTATTGACCGAGAGGTCATATTGTGTTGTCTTCGACATCTCCTGTTCTAAATGTATATATAGCGCTACAGTAGACCACTTTAATTTAATTCTATGGATGACATCGATCCCCGCCCGCATTGATTTTCGCCTGTTCCAAAAAAATCATCTCGGATCAAGCCCTTGTCTCTTGCCTGAGATTTTTAATTACAAGTAAGGCCATGTTGATTTGATTATATGGATGACATCCTCCGGGAACCCCAAAACTGGTGCGCGCGTGCGAATAAAAAAAAGTTTTGCAAAAAAAAAAAGTTGTTTTCATTATGAAATCTACGTGGTTTTGAAGCTTTAACAAATGGCACAGAATATGGTTTGGTGAATAATCTAGTCTTTAAGTTCATTTCTTTACAATTTCGTCTTTTTTCGTTTGATTTTGGCATTCTACGACATTGGTATAGTTTTTATTTTTTGTAACATACGCCATATTTTTGCTCATTTTGCAACCGTTTTGTACGATTTACAGTATGGTTTAAAACTTTTTTTTTTGGAAACGGCCGAAAATTCATGCGCGCGCGGATGTCATCCATATAATCAAATCAACATGGCCTAAGATAGGAACATTTAAAACTCAGTGTTGATTTTCCTTGTTTCAATCAGGTATATTTTTTTTAATATATTATTTAAATTTAAGTCTGGTGGCGCCGGTTAGAAACCTCTGGGTTTTGTGGATTAGACTAGAGGACAGAGAAAATGAGGGCTCTTTTGTCTTCGGCGACGGCACAACGCTATCAGGTCGTCAGCGAGCTAGCTTTTCTTTTTTAAAAGTTTCCAATCATTTTTCTTCGCTTTATTAAGTCAGTGTTATTTTCTTCATCAAATGCATTTTCAGTCTAACCCAAAGCTCATTTCAAACAATGTAAAATCACCAAAACCAAAGTGCTCATTTACATACACAGCTTGCA